GAGCAGTCAGACATATTTAGAGTACTAACACCCTTAATAGTAAGGGAAGTTTCGCAGCGAGTTCCCCACCAGAAGCTGGGGAAGCCAACAATAGCCAAAACCCAGCGTGGAGCATGATTTGATGGTCTAAAAGTTCAGGTGTTTGTCTGAAGCTCTATAGGTTTGAAAATGAGCCTGTTGCTGAAAGGTTCCTTGTCTGTCTTTTTGAACTGTTTATTAACAGACCTTGAAATATTTCTGGTCGAGTGAAATGCAAACTTGTTCTTTCCAAGTTATTCAATATTCCAAAGCGTACAAAGATAGAAGGGGTTTAATTTTCTTACTTGTTTTTTTTTTACTCTAAATAAAGGCCTTTTCAAAACTAGTGAAGGGTGTGAGGTTGGTTTTAGGAGTCCAAAGCAGCAGATTACTGGACCTGGGAGCCAGGAAGCGCTCTCCTACACCTGTGTGTCAGTGCACCAGGTTCCACCACACACCTCTTACTGCATGCTTCCGTTTCTGTTTCTTCTGGTGATGTTTGTCTGCACTGCTTCTTCAAATGCCATGCCCCTTGCAGTGGGCATTCTCTTTCACTGTGTGCAGGTAAGGTGCCTACTAGATTTCCCCCCTTTTTTAAAGCATAGTAATATTTTTTTCCCTCAAATTTTACATTTTACAGTGCAGGATTATAAATAAGGAGCCCAGTTAATGAGCTGGAGTTTAGATTCCTTTGCTATACATCTAATGTTTTGGTTTAAGTTACTGGGATTCACCAGAAGCAGTGAGTGCTTTAGCTAATAGATAGTTCCAACTTCTACCTCCCTCTACTTCAGTCATTCCACTAAGAAAGAATTCTTTGTACTTAGCCAAGAGCATACAGTGAGGAAACAGTAAGGCCAAACTATTTGCTCTGTGCCAATAGTATATCAAATGTGTAAGAAGCAGCATACCAGGTTTTACTGTAATTTTATGGAGCAGATTTCCTGCTGTTTTGAACTCCCCTTATTAAAATGCTCTTCTCTAGCCTACAGGAACTTATTTTGGCCAGCAGTTTGTTTTGAAATAGCAAACCTTAGCCTAAATTAATACAGTGATGCATATATTTCCTGATAGACATGCTTCCAAAAATAATAATTTGCCTAGTCAATTATAGATTATAGAAAGTTCTTCATAAAGTAAAACCAATAAAGCTGTAGTCTGCTTGCTCCCTTTTAACACCAACTCTGACACAGAGGTCTTTGGTTTCTTCTGCCCTATCTTTGCTTATATAAATACAACTAGGAGGAAGAAATATGATTTGCCTCCTTTGCACTAGAGAGTTCTGTGGAAATAAGTTTTTCTACTCGTAGCTCAATGTTACTTTACATGCAGTGCTACAGAATATGATGTTTCAGGCCCACGTGTTTCAGCCAGTATTGAACAAGCAGAGTATTGAACAAGTCTTGGCACTGTCAGGTTCTTGGCAGTGTTAGGTTCATGGTTGGACTCAAGGATCTTAAGGGTCTTTTCCAACCTAAATGATTCTGTGCTTCTAAGCAGCAACTTGTGGCATTTGGATATTCAGGTACTGCTGAATAAAATGAGGTGTTTGTGGGGAGGAAGCTGTAACTGGAAAGAATCAAGCACAGAATCCCAGGTTGGAAGGGACTTCAAGGATCATCTGGTCCACCCTTTCTAGGCAAAGCATGACCCAGACTAGATGTCCCAGCTCCATGTCCAGCTAAATCCTAACAGTGTCCAACATTGGGGAATGCCTGAGGAGATTATTCCAATGGCTGATTGTTCTCACTGGGAAAAATTTCCCTCTTGTGTCCAGTTGGAATCTCCCCAGGAGTAACTTGTGCCCATCACCCCTTGTCTTTTCCATGTGACTCCTTGTAAAAAGGGAGTCTCCATCTGCTTTGTAGCCACCCTTTAAATACTGGAACATGGGTGTAAGGTCTGCCTGTGCCGCCTTTTGTCAAGGCAGACAAGCTCTCAGCCTTTCCTCCTATGGCTTCCCAGTCGTTGGATCATTTTTGGGACCCTTCTCTGGACTCTTTCCACCCTGTCCACATCTTTTTTGTATGGCGGGACCCAAAACTGAACACAGTGTTTCAGCTGTGGCCTGACAAGTGATGAGTAGAGTGAGAACAAGAGCTGAGTGGGAATGACAGTAAGGAAGAAGTCCTGGTTCAAAGCAGGTGCTGCTTTTGCAGCTTTAGTATGTGCTTGTGTAGTGAAGGAAATAGAAAGGTGATTAAAAATATGGTCAACTGTTTGAGATGTTAAAGCAGAGAGTTTAAGTTATCTAAGTAACAAACCCCAGGACACACACCTTTAATAGGGAGATAGGTGTCTTAAAGAGAAATGTGTTTGTCATCTTATTCCCTGTTCCTGATACAAGTCGCATTTTAACATCAGGAGGGGTGTAGCTGGAAGTGCCTTGTAGTATGATGCCAGAAGTTTCTAATGATGCTGGTGTGCCATTGCCTCTCTGTAGAGGGAAAGAAAAGAGAGTTTGTTTGCTTATAGGGTCTCTAAGAAATTATAACTGCATCCCATGGTTTAGATATGTCCAGTAACATGAAGGATTTTAGCATCCAGGTTGTGCCTCAGAATCATGGATTTATAGTATAATACCATGACACTTAAATCACATACTGTGGTTGGCTCCCATCATGGCAGTGAAGTATCATCAGAGTTCTCTAAGAGGCTGAGCAGATGCTGTTTGAAGTAGCTGCCAATTCAGTCGTACCACGTAGCTGAAATCTCAGTTTGAATGAAAAGATTCCTCTTCTGAACAAGATAAGCCTGATTTAAGTGAGATTTTAGCATGCAAAAAAAAAATACCGTATGGTATAGTCCTTCTGGGAGAGAGCCTTTCAGTAGGTTACGTAGAACATCCAGGTTGTGCCTCAGAATCATGGATTTATAGTATAATACCATGACACTTAAATCACATACTGTGGTTGGCTCCCATCATGGCAGTGAAGTATCATCAGAGTTCTTTAAGAGGCTGAGCAGATGCTGTTTGAAGTAGCTGCCAATTCAGTCGTACCACGTAGCTGAAATCTCAGTTTGAATGAAAAGATTCCTCTGAACAAGGGATTCCTCTTCTGAACAAGATAAGCCTGATTTAAGTGAGATTTTAGCATGCAAAAAAAAAATACCGTATGGTATAGTCCTTCTGGGAGAGAGCCTTTCAGTAGGTTACGTAGAACAGACTGAAATGTAGCAGGAGCCAAATGTCAAAGTGCAACGAAGAGGAGAGGAGAAATAATAAATACATTCCCCTGATTTCAGAGAATCCCAGACTGGTTTGGGTTGGAAAGGGCCTTAAAGTTCCTCCAGCTCCAACCCCTGCCACGGGCAGGGACACCTTCCACTAGAGCAGGTTGCTCCAAGCCCCTGTGTCCAACCTGGCCTTGAACACTGCCAGGGATGGGGCAGCCACAGCTTCTCTGGGCACCCTGGAGTAATTTCAGTATTACAACACTTTAAAACATTCCTAATGAAGGAGATGTTGGCATATGAAAGGAGCTGAGTTCATGGGTGAGTGATGTGGGCTGAGCAAAGCTGTGAGCAAGGATGGAAAGACAAATACAATTTTACTGGACCACTTCTCTTTGCAAAGCACAGTGTGTGCTCTGTTTCGTGTTTCCTGTGCTCAAAGTGAAGGCCTGCCCTGTGCTCAGCTCTGAAAGGGTTCCTTGTGTAGGACTTGGGTTTCCTGGTTCCATTTGAATTAGTTGGTAGGGGAAAAGGTGTTCTTTGCTTGAAGTTCTTTTTTGTGTTCTTTCTATCAAGTCACTCCAAAAAGGCAATGCTGGAAAGTAGAAGTAAGTTTTTAAGATAAAGATTTGTACCTTGAGTGCTTATGATCATGTCTGCTGGCTCAGTTACATCAAACTGTACAGCTCATGTCTTCTGAAAAGAAATCCTAACAGTGCTAGCATAAACTACATCATTATACATTCAAATTATTAAGTGATTAGAGGAATATAAAGGCTCTGTACTGCTGTAGCTCTGCTGTGCAGTTACAGGACTGGGAGATATTCAAGCCTAAGATTTGCTGCAGTGATTTTACAAACCTTGAGCAAGTCATTAGTTTCCAGGTTCACAAAGGGAGTTCCTTGCTTCTTAACTCATCCGGCTCTTCCACTGATTAATAATATAGCTAAAAATACCCTTACTGCTAATAAATGACAGTATTTCAGACTCCCTCACAGTTGAATAGTCTGGTGGTGTTATCTTTCTATATTTTAGACTGACTAAAATGCTTCTTGTCAAGCATAAGACCACCAGAATGAACTGTGGTGACAGTCTAAACATACCTCCTCCATACAGTGCTCAGGAAGTTACTGCTTTGATTTCATCAGTCTGTGTTGTCCATTAAAGAGTTCTTACCTCCCACACTCCTCCTTTGTGATCCATTCATTTGATTTGAGCAGACACTTTTGCTCTACCAGCAATAACACTGTGATATGACTAAAGAAGTGTTCCATGCAGTAGTAGGTTTGGGGGTTTGTTGGTTTATGTCTAAACATACAACACACAGTGCTCCTTTCATTTCAAAAGCTTGAAAACAAATAGGTTCATTTCTTATACAGATTTTTTTCAGGGTTTTCCTCAAACCAGTTTAGGAATGTGAGGTTAAAACAGAATGGGACATTACCAGTTTCAGCCTTTCAGGATTGGTTGTCTACTCACACAATCCCAACTGGTTGCTCCAGTAGTAAGTGCCCTCTGGCCTGGCCGCTTCCTTTCCTACACAGTCTGTTGCATAGCAAGTGATCTTTGTTTGTTTTACACAATAATTTTAGTGAATACTTAGTATTAAGAAAAGGAAATAAATAAATAAATAAAGTCCAGTCCAGTTTTCAGCAACATTTCTGAGCTTTATGGGCCTTTAGGTAGATGCCAGTGATATCCTGGCTGGAAGCTGGTGTGGAATGGTGGAAATCCTTCTAAGTAGTATTCATTTCAAGCAGGTAATCTCTAAGCTCCTGAAAAAGTTTTGTAACTTCTTGGGTTTTTTGACTTAAAATCATCTCTTTACCTAAAGAAATGTTCTTTTGTATCTAGGCTTGAAGATTTGGACATTTAAGACAAAGCAGTCTTCCACTGACTGTGGCACAAGAAGTGAACAGACTTTAGCCAATAAATCACAACTGCAAAGTTTGAAATGCAGAAGATGAGTTGGACTGAGTATCACAGGGCATGTACATGAATTAAAACCACTTTTGTCATCTCCATGTGCCCTTCATATGAAATAGGTTAGTCAGATTTCAGTCAGCTTCTGCTACCCATGTGTCAGTGTAAGAATGAAGAGTGTTTCAAGCTTAAATTAGCTTTGTAGCCTGAGCAGACAGGTCAAGAGTTGAAACATCTCTTCCCTTTTAGACAGCTTGCATTGCTTCCAGTGACTCTATACCTGTTCTTCTGTTTCAGCGGAGTATTGGATTCCTTTATTCTCCTTTCAGTACCTTTTCAGTAGTCTCTTAAAATAGCTGTGGTATTTTTGTCTTTTCTTTCATACTCTGAAGCTTTTGATGAAAGTTACCTCAGGTTTGTGTTAGAATGATAGCGCTGAAAATTGCTGTGTGATGTTAGGAAGGTAAGTCCCTAGGGTTGGATTAATGTAGTTTACGAGGAAATACTGATACTCCAGCTACTCAATAGTTTTGCCCTCTTCTTGCACCTCTTTTAGTTCTGAATCTGTTTAACGTGCTGTCATTTTCAGTGACATTGACATTTCCCCAAATAGTGGATGATTTCTGTCTGTTTAATCACCCCAGCACTTTTTCCAGTGGTAGTTTTTGTTGCTTAGGATACAGTGATAAATCTCACCCACTTGTTTCAACTTTGGATTTAAATTGCCATCTTAGCAAAGAACGGGTTGTACACAGTAGTGCGTTCCCTGTGAGATTTGTGTGCGTCACATTCAGCACGCAGCCTCCAGACCGGACAGTGATTGAACACACTTAATAAACCTTCCAAAAGATCCACGTTATCCCTCAAAACCTGCACAACTGTGTCAAAGGATGGTGCTTTGTGTAAGCGTGGCTGCTTTGATGGTTCTTATGCTTCCAGCATCTATGACAAATGTGAAGTTACTCAAAGGTAATTCTCCTTTTCCACCTTTCCTCCACTCCTCCCACCACTGATGAGTGTGCTGTGCCTGGGGGCTTCCCTACTAGAACCTGGACTCCCAGTCTGTATAATTGAGGGTGGCTGGACCCGAGTTGTGAAGGACTCTCAGCTACAAGATGCAGGTTTTCAGTTGATTGGCTTTTTAAAGCATCTCTCACGTTTCCTGAGACAGAGGAGAGAGGGAAAAAGAGGAAGGAGGAGAGGAGCAAACAGATACCAAGGGAATTAAAAGGAGCAGCTCTCCTCAGGTTCTTAGTGTCGTCCTGCCTCCTCCTTTCTCACCTTGTGAAATCACCTGGGGCTTCTTTGTACTTCCTCCAGCTCAAACATCTCTCTGATAAGTGCTTTGCTAATTAAGTGTAGTAGGGTGGCTAGGAAAGGGGACAGTGAGGCCACTATCATGGGGCAGTCACCCAGAGGTCTTTGGAGAGCTACAACAGCAATAGGCATGACAGGTCTGCTCTGGGGATAAAACTCCAGTGGCAGATTTCAGATCATAAAATGTATCAGTGTTGTATTTCAGTGGGACAGAGCAAATATGGTTTTCCTTGTTCTGTGTAACCCTGCTATGTGAAATGCTTGTTCTATTTCAGGTTAAGGGTCCAGAGAGTCAGTACATCCATGTTGAAGTCTGGTGACTGCCACCTAAATCAGAACTTCGCTATAGCACGATCTGGCAGAACTGAGTTGGGAAGCTTGCAAAAGCAGATTACACTTCTGGGATAGACAGTATTCTTTGCACTGTCAATGGGTGGTGGATATAGCTGGTAAAAGCTGACTTTTTAATAGATAAGAATTTAAGTTTAACTTTGCTGTAGAAAGGAATTTGAAGGAAAACACCAAACGTGCTTTAGTTTCAGCAACATTCGTATATCCATTTGCTTATACAGAATTGTAATGTAAACCTTTACCTTTATGTTCATTCATTGTAGATGTTCTCTCCAGTCTCTTTTCTTTTATTTCCAAATAATTTGTTTCTGTTTTTCTCTTTCCTTTTCTTGCCTCTGTGTAAAGGAGTCAATCACTGTCAGCATAAAGTAAAGAAAGCTAGACGCTTTCTCCCTTTCGTCTTCTGTTCCCATGAGTCGCCGCCTAAGGGTACTGCACTGCTCTTTGTATAGGCTGCCTTATTAACCCAAAAGCTGAATATACTAACTTAGTTACTGTTTTTAAACTACTTTAGCCTCAGGTAAACAGAGTTCCAAGAATAATTTCATTACCTTTCTGCTACCCCTTTCCTCCTATTGAATTGGATTTTCATGCAGCGTGACAAGTTTGCTGGTCCCCATTTTTATGGGGGGGGGCTTGTTTTTAAGCATCATGTGCTACAACAACAAACATATTAATAATTTCACTTGTAAAGCTGTGCAGCCCCATCTAACATGGATTTTTTGTTAATAGGATTTGACTTCATTCTTGGACCCCTGATACAGCATGCTTATGAATGAAATAGAATAGCAACCATAAGCATCAGCTGAGATCACTTTGAATTAAATACTGGCTATGGTGATGCTTTTGGCTGCATACTGGTTCACCACTTGCTCTGGACCAGTTTGGCTTTGTTAGGGGGAAGAAGAATTGGAGTAATAAGTGCATTACTTTTACAACATTAATGTGCATTTTTCTTTTACTTATAAGTAATGTCTGAAGTGCATCAGCTTGTGCTGTGGGTATTGATGGGCCGCTACAGTACATGCGGGTTATGGTGCTCGTTTAAACCTCTTCCCAGTAGAGTTGCTCCATTTGCCACTGGTGTAAATTTCAGCTTTTTATAATTGCAATATGCTCTGTATTATTATTATTAATACTTAGTTGGCTCCATTAGGAACTCATGTCTTCGTGATAGCACAAGAGTGTGTTTCCTTTGAAAGGGTCAACACCAACTCTACTTACCCAAAGCCATAAGTGTACATGCAAAGTCATATTGATCTGACTCATCTGGCTGTAGATCCATTTTGTAGTGAAGTATTGAATAAACCCAGATCTTGATGTTTCTTAACAATGTATTAAAATAACTAGTTCCACTCCCAAATTTAAGTTTTGTGCAATTTTATGTTTGAAAGTCATTAACTCTGTTGCATCATATAAGCTTCTTAGAACGTATCTTTGTCCCTTGGGTTTTAGGTGAGAAGTCTTAAATTCTGCTACTTTTCTGGTTTCTCTTGAGTCAGGTATATAAGATAACTACAATCTGAATACTTTTGGATTACTCATGAATTTAATAGTATATTTTCCCCTCCCCCTTCTCTGTCCCCTCTCTCTCCCCCTCTGTTTTTCTCTCTCCTTGCATGCCACCTGGATCTGCAGATGAAATTAGTGGGGACGGTAATATGTTTTCTAGTCTGTGTGTTACTAACATGCAATATGCAACTCTTATATCCATATACCACTTAATGCACATTTCAGCAATGACTTTTATACAGCTTTTCATATTAAAAAGCAGTCTGCTTTGGGCATTAGCCAATAAATATTGTACTTTACAGGCTGTGCAACTAACGCTTTCTGCTCCACTGGAATGGAAAAAGGAGAAACTTATTTCAGACACCCAGGGCTGGGGTATTGCATGTGTTTGCAATGAGACTTCTGGCATGTTGCAGAGAAGGTTTAGAGGTTTGCAGGAGTATCCATTCAGTTTGATTTTATCATGGTTAGTTTTTGGTCACTGGGTGAGATTAATGGCTGTAAGATGTGAGAAATGAATCTACTAAGAGATACTTTAAAGACATGGTAGCATCCAAGTGCTGTGTTCTCCATTACTACTCCTTGCATAAAAAGAAGCTGCACAACATAGATTAATGTAGATGGAATAAAATTAATCACTTTCAGCTGCTCAAACTGCTAATTTTAAAGACATTATAAAGTTTTTCTTCAGGATTTTGAACCTTATTAAAAAATGTTTAACTTTTCCAGAGTTTCTAGGTCTTTATTTCTAGAAAATAAGGGGTGGGCTTTAAAGTTATTTTTAGCTATTTTTCTAAAGGATTCCATGTGATGTTGGGAAAAAACCCAAACTGCTACTACTGGTAGTGTGTGTATCTTTAGTCTTAGAAGTAGGAGGTAGTAAAAGGGTATGCAAAGGAAGGTGCAAAAAAAGTATGTATGCAAAGGAAGGTGATAAGAAAAACCAGAACTTCTTGTGGCCTTTCTCTCAGTAAAATGTAAAGGGGGTCTATAACTTTTCATCTCCTTTCTCTCCCTCACATTTAAAGCAAAGATAATGAATAAGCCATTCACCTGTTCCACCAACACTTTGTCCAGAAGCCACCTATTTGGTTTTCCCTCTAGAAGAATCTGGGCTTGACCAACAGGTGAAAAGGTTCAGTGCTGGTTTTACAATGTGCAATAAGGCAGCACATATGAGCCCTATTCATAAGTTTTTCTAGACTTACCAAGGGCCTTGAAGATAGACTATCACTTGGAATCACTGCTTTGTTGTTCTTAGCTCTGGAGACTGCTGTAACACCTTCTTTGTTAAAGCAGCCTGGGGAGCCTTGCCTAGCTGAGTTTTGCTTTTAAGCTCCACTTAGGTTATGGAATATCTTAGCAGACTTGGTAATAGTCTCGTAGTATATGGCTCTAATCATGGAGTGAAGTCCAGAAGTGAGGGAGGTCACTTACCTGTGTTGCAGAACACTTTGAGCACATCACTGTTAATGCCTTGATTGACTTTTCCTCTACTTCCCAAGAACAATGCCACACGTATATAGGAATTATTTTGTGAATTCTTGCTGTATGTTCCTCTTCAGAGTGTTAAATGTGTAACAAGAAGTATTTAGTTAATTGCATACATTTAATTAAGGCTACTGAAGACCCTTTTAGTTTCAGGGTGGTTTGGGGCCGTGTATCAAAACCATGTGAAGTGCTCTGTGGTGTTCTGATAATGGATTTATTATGGCTTAATTCATTTAAAATAGAGAGAAGAGCAAGCCAAGCCATTTATCACATTTTGTAAGCACTGGTTCATAAGCTACAGTGATAAATGTTTTGGGTTTTTGAAAGACCAGCGTGGCACCAGTTCTAGTTTCCAGACTTTAAATTCTTCTCAAATACGTTTATGATACTCAGTCCAGTTTTTTTACATAGATGAAGGACTTTCTGGTACCTTAAATACCAGCTTGTAGCACTCATTGATATATACCACGCTTAGAAGTTAAAAACATCTTACCACCCATCACACTGGTGTCACACTGATGGTTTCTTTCAAACAGATGCTTAATTTTTAGATCAAACTGGGGCTTATTTTCTACAAAAACATCTGTTTATAATGCAGGGAGGAAAAACATACAAGGAAGAGATTGGAGGAGTATGCTCCTGTTTAGAATTGTGCACTGTCTTTATAATTAATTGAATTTTCATTAGGTGACTGTTTTGCTGTGTCCTAAACAGAAAATGCCCAACAAAATGGCACAGAATTTCCTGCTTCTGTTTTTACAAGATGTAGTAAATCCCTACAGGAGTTGGAAAGAAAAATAGCTTTCGATTTATTTAAGTAGTAGGAAGTCAGGGTCATAAAATGACATTTACTCACTGAAGTGTGTTGAACTTCAGAGGTTAGAGGCAACCTGTAGTTTCCTAATTGTGGAATATTCACTTTGTCAGAAAATTAAGCCTCTTGCTTATGTACATGTGTAATTTATGAGCATTGCTCTGGTTTCAGAGCTGGCTTGAGTTGCTTGACCTGAGGGCTGCTGCAAAAAGGATCATCCCATCCTTCTTTCCACTCTCACGGTGGCTTTGTCCCATTCACCGTTTGGAAACCACACCTCCAGAAATGACACCAGGGAGACGTAGGGATATACGTATGCTCCAGGGCAGATGGGGAAAAGGGGGAGTAAATCATGCCTTTGAGAGGTGGCCCAATATCTGGTCACCTGAAACCAGCCACAGAAAACTGCATGCTGGATTGGAAATGAATCCATTTTGAGAACCTCTCTTTGCATTTAAAGCTTGTGACTAGAATTTATCAGCCTTGATGTGAAAAATTATCTCACTGTTGTGGTTTTGTAACCTCCAGAGGAACTTATGTGGCCATTAGGAAGCGACCTATACGCACTGCAAGTTCTTTAGAGCGAGAGAAGGACTTTCTGGTGTGACTTGACACCATCTGAAACCATTTTGAGAACAGATTAAGTTTTAAACAGAGAAAGAAATACACTGTTGTTTTTCTGCCAATTTGGAGAACTGGTTGTTTTCAAACACTGTCCAGGAGATGTTGATTCTTGGTGACAGAACTGGTAATGAATTTCCACTGAACAACAATTGAGGCTAAAGCAAGAAAAGTGGGTGTAAGGCGAGAGTGTCATTTAAAAGATCTTCATGTTCTAAAAGACTCTATGGGAAATAACTCACCTTGCCACACTGCCAGTAGGTAGATGCTGCCCTGGAACATCTTTCCTCTCTGTTCTGCCTGTCTGACATAATAAACCTAGCAAACTCTGAGTCACACTTTACTGAATGAAGGTAAAGCAAATTAATCCATTAATAACGTTTGTCCTTCCTGCAATGGAATCTGCTTTTATAAAGATTTGAAGTCAAAGTTCAGATGATTTCCAGTTGCTAACTTGAACTGTTTTGAATACAAATCCCTCTTCCTTTTATTCCTTGCTGAATGCATCGATGTGACGTTGTATAATTGGCACCGAGGTCATTATCATACCATAAATTATGCATGAGCCAGTTTTATTCATGCTATTGTAAATGCGTCCCAGCAATGCTAAATTGGGGGTTGTGACATATTGGCCTTGGTAAATGAGAGATGTTGTTCTGGAGATGTTTTCATCTGCTTTTCCCGAAACTCTTCAATTCCTCCCTTTACAGAGACAGATGACTATGCAGAGATTATAGATGAAGAAGATACTTACACAATGCCATCAAGTAAGTATGGTGCTTCCCTGGGAACTTCCCTGTCCAAAAGCTTCTTTGGTTTAGCAGGGACTGAATCTTCTATTTCAGCCTTAAGTAAATATGTGTGTAAAGAGAATACTCCTCGTGATATATAAATAAGACAGTTTGATGCCAGTGATTTTCAAGTTCAGGTTTTGAAGCAAATAAAACCAAATTCTGTTGTGCTGCTGTTGGTAACTTCACAGTGAAATTCCTTTTATGTCTCAAAATGTAGATTTTTTGATTGTGATGATGAACACCACTTAAAAAAAGAAGAGATGAGATTTCTGTGATGGGAGCAAACAGTTTGGAAAGCTTCTGTGTGTTGCTGTCTAAGCATATCTCCCGCTTGCTCTGTGACAGACTTGCTGCTCTTGAGTTCCATGGTAGAGGAAAGTCAGCTGTACCACGTGTTAAAGATGAAAGACTTTAGGAAGAAAAATAACAATTCAGACTTCTTCTGAATTTAATCAATTGAAAAGTCTTCATCTTTAAAGTCAAAAAAATGAGGCTTTAGCCACCACAAGGACTTGGTCTTGTGGTGTATTGGAATTACATCAACTTGAACTGTCACGGCTAACTCATTTAGTGTAGTACTCGGCTTTCAACGCTGTGTCTGTGAAATTGCAGCTATGTTTTGGCAGCCAGGGATTGCTCTAGAAGTAGGCAATCCCTTGATACACAGACCCTCAGAACCCTTGGGTTTGGTTAGTTAAGAGGGGAGGATGGTGCTTAATCTGGTACCATGTTCTGCTGAAGAACCAGTAATGTGTGTGGGGACTTGCCATGTGGCAGGAATGTTTCATGATCACTTCAGTGTTTGCAGCATAGTTTCCACTGCTGTGGAAAATATTTGAAAAGCAAGAATATATGTTTTGAAAAACATATATATATATATAGGAACATAAATATTTGAAAAGCAAGGATATGTGTTTTCCAGAAATAAACACTGTGTTTTGAATGTCTTGCAGTAAGTCACTACATGATTCTACTAAAATAGTTGCAGGATCAAAAAGTACTGTTATAAATGATATCCTTTATTTTTTGTTAACATTTTAACTGTGTGGGGGCTTGGGGTTTTTTTCCTAATCTTTTCATTTGAATCCTCATGGAAGTAATTACTTGTGGGCCCAGCCCTGGATGATGCTGGACACTTAAGTACGCCTTCAATTCAAAATTGAATGGGCTGTTGAAGTGAAATTCCTTAAGTGCTTTGCTGGATTGAAGTGGGCTCAAGTGTTCAGCTCTCAAAGGGCTGAGTCAGTTAAAGATCACAAGAACAGACCTGTGACTTCTGCTAATGTAAACTTAAAACTGTATCAGTATATTTCTTCATTTAAAACTATAATGTTAAGAAATGTTTGTCCTTGTCTTAAGAAGCTCTATCTAAGTAAGCATTTGATTTTTCTCTTAATTGCACTGCAGAAAGCTATGGAATAGATGAAGGTAACAGGAGACCCTTTACCCATCCCTGTATGCTTGCAGTTTGGAATGATGTGGAATTTTTAAGTTTACTCTTCACTTTCATTTAATAAACATGATTTATTTGTAGTTAAACCAGTTAGCTTTGGGATTTTAAAGAGGAAAATGCAGTACTTTAAAAAAGAAATGAAAAGGGCATTCATTGCTTTGTTATCCAGCTCTAGATGACGTTATTTCTGTAGTGTTAATGGAGTCAGAACCATCAGTCATGAAGTCCTAAGCTGGTTGGTTGTGGTATTTTTCCCTGACTACTATAAGGAGAGGTGAAAACATATCCTGTATGTGCTTTTCTGCCAGTCCTGAACTAGTTTTCCGTGTCTGCTAGAAATGAAATTGCAACTGAAGTAATTCAATTGCAATTGATTAAATGTTTTGCTGAAGTACTGGGCCATTTTTATTAGTAATGTTCTCAGTCTCTTAAACCACAAAGTTAACAAAATTGCTGAAATCTGCCAAACACATCAATTTTACTTCAATTACACACTGATAGCGGTGTAATGCACTCAAAATTCTGCTCTTTCATTTGATCTTCATTTGCCATGCTAGTTTTCTCTGTTTTTTCTTGCAGTTACCTCTTTAAAAATTCTCTGGGCTCATTTGATGGTTCCAAGAGCTAAAATACCACATAGTGGAGTTCTCTTAAACATCTCAAGCCGTGCGTGCTAGGGCTGTATTTAATATCATTGCTGTTGCCCTAGGCTGTCCTCTTTGTCTTTTACTAGCTATAATTAAGAAGGGTTCAATTACCTCTATTGCATTGAAATAAATAATGCATAGCAGTTCATTTAGCAAATTAGATTTCACAATTCCTGCCTCATTGCTTTGGTTCAAACATTTGTTTAAGAGGTTTCCACTGTGTATACAGCATTCGTATAGGTTGGTGTGCAGCAACTGTTAATGTTAGTAGTTCATACGTGAGACATTGGAGTGACTGGCTTTGAGTTTTGTATCTTGTGGGTTATTTCTTTGCCCTTCATCAGAAATGTAATATTTGAAGTGCATTATATTCTTATAGCCAGAGATTATGAAATTCAAAGGGAGAGAATTGAGCTGGGGCGCTGCATTGGCGAAGGACAGTTTGGAGATGTACACCAAGGAGTTTACATGAGTCCGGTAAGCCTTCCTCCTGAAATAAAGATAAACCACTCTAAAGCCTTTCTAGTTAAAAAACTACACAACAAATAAATGTATTCCTTAGATGCCTTGGTCTGAGTCTTCCAAAACAAATAAAAACTGGTTCTGTCATTTGTTTTTCATCATTTTTTTACTTTTTTTGTGATTTAACGATCAGCACGTAGAGAATATTTCCCATGTTTCAGGTAAGTAGAAAACTAGCTCAAGAGTAGTTCCTCTGCTCCTATAGGGAAAAGAATCAAAAGAGCCAAGTAAATTACTCGGGACCTGACCAAAACCATTGGCAGAGTCACCATTGGAAGACACTCATTTTAACCCAAACTCACAATTTGAGTGAGTCTGAGCACTGTCCCTTTGGCCGTACTCCCCTGTTGAGAGTTCAGTGATTTAGAGCCCTTTCCAAAGGTTAATATTATAATTCTGGGCATTGAGCCTGACGTGGGTTTAGGTTCAGCATTTGGTGCAGAACCATAGAATCCCTGGTTGGAAGGGACCTCAAGGATCCAGCCTTTCTAGGCAAAGCATGACCTAGACGACATGTCCCAGCATCCTGTCCAGCTGAATCTTCAAAGTGTCCGGTGCTGGGGAATCGCCACTTCCCAGGGGGGATTATTCCAATGGGTCATTGTTCTCCTTGTGAAAAAATTCCCTCTAGTGTCCAGTCGGAATCTCCCCAGGACTAACTTGTGCCCATCACCCCTTGTCTTTTCCATGCAAAAAAGGAGTCTCCATCTTCTTTGTAGCCACCCTTTAAATACTGGAACATGGGGATAAAGTCTCCCTTGAGCCTTCTTTTCTCAAGGCTGAACAGTCTCAGCTCTCTCAGCCTGTCCTCACACAGCTTCCCAGTCCTTGGATCATCCTCGTGGCTCCTCTCCAGCCTGTCCACATCTGTTTTGTACAGCAGGGAACAAAAGTGTCCAGCCGTGGCCTGACAAGTGCTGAGTGGGATAATGACATCTTGATCTCTGCTGGTGATGCCCTTACCGATTTAACCCAGCGTCCTATTGGGATGAAATACAGAGGAATTTTACTCTGTTAATGCTGGCAGAGCAGTAGCACACCACAGAGAGACAGTAACATTAAATGAACGTGTCTGTTTCTCCAGTGACCATCTCACTATATCGCTCACAAAGAAGCTTGTGTGTTAATAAAGTTACTACTTTGTCCTGAAAGAAAAGACACTTGAACCCTAATCCAGCAAAACCCCAACACACAAGGAGTCACCTCAGTGAAACCAGTGAGGTTGGTGGGACTTGGTAATTTAGGCTGGTGCATGTGAGTTTTTCTAGATAATGAATGTTTAAATGGATAAAAAAAAAAGTTCGTGGAAAAAAGCAGGAGAAAGCTGGAAAATTATTTCATGTCAGCTATTTCCAAGCTTACAATAAATCAATTCTGCAAGTGTAAAATGAAGATCTGTTTTTCATTTGAAGAAATGGTCTCAGTTTTGGACAGATGCTAATTCTAGTTGTAACTAATCTAACTAAATCTAGTTCTAACTTCAGAAACAGTACTTCCCTGAAGCAGCTGCTTAGCATCCTGGGCTCGGTGGGTTAAATAAATGACTCTTTAATGCAATATTTATATAAATAAGGAAGCTTTCAAACTGTAATTTCTTAACTGAAGATATTCTCATTAATAATAATTTTCTCTAAAGCCATTTTGCTAAAATTCTCAAGGACTTGGCTCTTGGTGAGCTGTATGTTGTGGGTTGTGGTTCAGATGTTTCTCAATCATGTCTTTCAGGAGAATCCAGCTATGGCCGTTGCAATCAAAACATGTAAAAACTGCACCTCAGACAGCGTTAGAGAAAAATTCTTACAAGAAGCCTGTGAGTATTAAAGTACTTCTGCTGGGGTAGCTTCTGGAACTGGCCCTTGCAAAGACCACAGCTATCTCTCTGCCAGAACCTTCTGATACTCCCGTAAATCTTTTATTACTACATAGCATGACCTTTTCCTCTCCTGCAGTATGTGCAGGACAGCCTTGCTTTGCCCATATATCCAGCTCTATGTGGGTTCTTTGATTTTCTGATTTGAACAGTGATGTTTAACTCCTGTAAGGCTTCAGAACCAGATTAGAGATCTGATCTTCCATTTTCTTCTTCCTGAATTCACACAGCGCCTTTTCCAGCATGTTGCTTCTGAAGGTTAGGTGGTTGTCTTTGCTTAACAAAGTTCCTAAACACGTTATGTTTAAGAGTTTGAAAGTGTTTTGAAAATTCAGAATTAAAAATTGTGATAGAAGAAACCCATTTTGTGAATAATTGCCCACAAATACTGCATTCCCCAAATGGTACATGTCATACAGGGGGGGAGGCTTTTTGTGGCCATGCATACTAACAGAAAACTTACTGTAAGAGTGTTGTAGTTACTGTTTTGTCTGCTGTTTGGTTTTGTAAGCAAATTAAGATACAGGTCTTAATTTTTGCCTATTATCCTCTGCTGTTGTGTTTCTATAGACCCCATAAAGCTATTGTATTATATCCATAATTTGGTTATGGCCAGATATTAGAGTACACTTTTATTTGCTATTCCTTTGTTCCAGGATGTTTTCCTAATTGTTCAGAAAATCTGTGTTCCTACCTAATGGCTTCTTATTTTTGGATGTCAGGTTTTTCTTTAAATTACTATAATTTTTCCCATTACATTTCCAGCTGTTGGAAAAGTAAATACCATTACTTATAGTAATAACTCAGCAGTCAAAGGTAGGCTGCTGTCTCTTCACAATGTAGAAAATAATTGCTCATTGAACACTCCTTATTATGCTTTGAGCTTGACAGATTAGGAAATGGCAACGTAGTAGACAGATAAATAATGCTTTTCAATTCTGATTAAACAGTTTTGCCATTTCTTCTTTCTGCTTTTAATTCTAATTCCCATCTGTTACCTTCCTCTTGTTTGTGTTCGTACTGCAACCTCTCAAAGAGATACTGCCTCCTCGGTTTGAAGAGTACTCTTCAAAAGGCACAAATCCCATACCTGGAGAGGCACAGCTGGTTATTTCACTGAATTAAGCCATTTAGTTCCTAATCTTTTAATGTGAGGCATATTAAAATATTTTAGGGCTCTAGTTGTTTGCTTGTGGTGGAGTTTGTAATGCTGAAAAGATTTGGTATTGATTCTCGCAAGGAAGAATACCTCAGAATAAAAAGTAGATGAAAGAAAGTGTTTTTACATGCATTGCCTGTCTTTTCATTCCTCTCTGCTTTTGTATAGCAGTGTATGACTGTTCATGCATTTGTATATGCTAAAATACAATCCAGCTGGGTTGAGGAGATCTTCACTGATCTTCCACTGGCTTTTGTAGTAAACTGCTCCTTTCTACATGTAGTTCATTCGTCTTTCCTCTAGAAACTCATGGCAAAAAAGATGATTAGTACCTTTGTGAATCTGTGAGTTTGTTAAGCTAACATTGATTGAATTCATTTCTGGGAAGTACTTTGCAGCAATGGAGTACTTTGTGTTTAAAACTGGTAAGACAATATATTTAAAACTGTTTGTGTTATTTGTCTTTCCATTGCTTTGATAGTTAAAACTGTGTTTCTGCTTCATTTTTACATCAGTGAAACAACATTTCCATGTTTTATTATAAAGTGCATTGAATATAGCACAAGAGAATCCGAAAACTGAATAATCGGAGTTCATTTGGAATATACACTTTACTTACTGAGATTTTGATACTAATATTGGGTTCAGATAAACTAGTTTAGCAATGGATACTTTTCCGAGGTGTCAGAAGTAGCTTCCCTCTCTGAAACTGTTTACTTCAAAGGAGAGGAGGGGAATTGAATGATTTAGGAATCTAGCTTCCATTCTGTGTAGTATTTCAGCAGTTGTTATTGCCTGTTTGACATGTCACATTGTTTATTCCTTTATATTAATGCATTAAGCTGTGCTGTTGATAGGGATGTTTGTTTTATTGTGTTTTTTTTCTCTAATATTCATAACCCATCAATGTTTTAAAGAACATGTTAAATTTGCCCATGTAAGTTTCTTTGCAGTTATAAAATTTTTATGGCATTAGGTCTTACAAACAGCACTGCCCAAGGATTTTTCTTGGGATCTGTGGGGTCACCAGATGTGTTTGGTTATCCAGCTGCTGTGTGCTAGTATATAGAAGTAGAGTTCAAAGCTCATCGGAATAAGAATCCAGAAACACCTGATGGTTTTAGGATGTGGTAATTAAAAGCCAAAAGATTTTCTATTCTTGCCTAATTGTAGGTGAACTGAAGCAGACTTTCCAATTACGTATTTCTGTTGGTACTATGAGCTGTAAAAGTAACAGAGGTACTACTTCAAGGTTAAATTAAGGATGTTTACGAAGGACATGAGGAAGAAATTCTTTACATGAGGGTAGTAAAACACTGGCAGAGGTTGCCCAGAGAGGTGGTGGATGCTCCATCTCTGGAGACATTCCAGGCCAGGCTGGATGTGGATCTGATCCAATCTAGTTGCAGATGTCCCTGCTCATTTTAGGGGGGTTGGACTAGATGAGCTTTGAAGGTCTCTTTCAACACAAATCATTCTGTGATGCTGTTGTATGATTCAGTAGACAGGCACAGGTTAATGGATCATGCACTGGATTAACCGGTTGTTATAACTTCCATTACGTTCATCCCAGGGTAGAAGAGCCGGAGCCTGACTTCACTTGCACCTTCCACAGCAGTTTCCTTTTTGTGAGTGGAGAACAGTACTGCTAAAGCAAGCAGTGTTTCCTGTTGCCCACAGAACATTAAATGACCAGACATTACTGCTTGCAGCAGTCGTTTTGCGGAACTGTGATTGTATTTTCTGGTGACAGACTAGATGCTTCTTAATCTTTCTTAAGAAAAGAAAAAGGTTTTATGTAACTCACCAACTTGTTTCCTTTCCCTTTAGTAACAATGCGTCAGTTCGATCATCCTCACATTGTGAAGCTCATTGGAGTTATTACAGAAAACCCAGTTTGGATAATCATGGAGCTCTGTACTCTTGGAGAGGTATGAAAAGTCCTTGTGCAACTTTCATTTGCTTTAAGCTCACTGATGCTTTTACCAAAGACTGAGAGAGTCACTTCACGGCACTAACACGGAGGCGCCCTCCTCAAACATGATATCATACTTGTTTGTAGAATTACAGGCTCAGAAACAGGAGTGGCAGCATTTGACCCAACTCCTCCACTGAGGGAACTGTATCAGCTCATACCATAGGGATTTAGTCATGGTTTTCAGAGAATTCAGTTGCTGTTCCAGAGTGAGAGCATGACCTGTGTCAAGATGATGATAATGCAGTATTGTTTAAACAGCATTTTCAAACATACCTTCTAGGAGTGAAATTGTGCTGCATCCTTTATTCTTCCTGAGTAATACTGCTTTTTCCCTTGGAACACTGAATTTCTTGTGGGGTTTTATTCTGTCTCTGCAGCAGAAGCCTGGGGCAAGATAGTGGTAGGACAAGGGGCAGTGGGTTTAAACTGAAACAGAGGAAGCTCAGGTTAGATATAAGAAAGAAGTTCTTCACTGTGAGGGTGCTGAGGCGCTGGCACAGGGTGCCCAAGGAAGTGGTAAATGCTCCATCCCTGGCAGTGTTCAAGGCCAGGTTAGACAGAGCCGTGAGTGATCAATTCTAGCGTGAGATGTCCCTGCCCGTGGCACGGGGGTTGGAACTAGATGATCTTAGAGTCCTTTCCAACCCAAACCATTCTGTGGTTCTATGATTGTTGTGTCTTTTGAATGAATGGCTTAAAAAAAGCTGGATCTCAGTTCTGATATTCGTTTTGTTTCTGAAAACACGAGCTGACGTGACATTTCATACTGCAGTGGACATCAGTCATTGGAGTTACCAAACTGCAGTACATTGCCCAAGAAAACCCCAACCTGGGCAGAAAAACCTGTAGTGGAGAAGTCACTTTCTGTCAAGAAATCAGATTTCCTTTCCAGTGCTAAAATCACTTTTTAAAGCCTTGTTTTAATTTACAGACTCTAATGCCACCTTCCATTAGGTCCTAACTGTCTTATACTGGCAATATAGCTTATAAATACTCTTCACTGATATTGGCTACTCTGAGCTAAATCCAGTTGTTTTAGCAGATGTACATCAAAATTAATGCTTCCAAAAGAATATTGATCTAATCAGTGTTCAGACTGGCCATGTACTGGTTTGGTCTGAAATCATTTCAGCCAGAAACATGCACAGTTCCCAAGGAAAGAGCGCATAAAAGCTCA